TTCATTAGTAACTTAAAATAGGCTTTCATAAGATGGTTAACCAAGGACACGTTTTTACAATTCTTCCTACATAAATCACCATTAGCACAGCTAAGATCTAAGAATAAGTATCTCTAAGGAAACTAATTTGTGTCTCCTATTCACATGTAAGTGCATCTGAGGATATCAGGCAGGAGACCAGGCTTGGTGCTGCTCTGGGATGTTATGAATGTTTATGATTCCATCTGATGTGTCCTGAGGCATTTCCCTTCCATCTTTGACATTCTTTAAGGCATTTGTGCATTTAAAATTAGCTACAGCATATTGTATACCTGTCTATGAAGGTGTTACCCCAACTCAGGGAGCAACCTGTTAAGGAACTAGTAAGTCAGGGCATGTGGAAACCACAAAGAAGAGAGGTTTGCTCTGCTTTATACCCATTGTCCATGTTTTGGAGACCTGAGCCTTCAGGCTGAGAACACTTAGTCCACCTGAGACCTGTTTTTGTATCAAAGGGACGCTTTGGCTAAAGCATTTATAGCAAGATGAGGCTAGACAAATGTTAGGTGGAAATATTTTCTTATATGATCTCTTACAGTCTCTGTGGTGTGGTCCTATTTGTTTCCCTCACTCTATAACCTCGATTTTGTCCTTCAATCTGTCAACCTATATTTCCTGAGGGTACTGATCTGAAAACTAGATGGTGCAGTGGAGACACAGAAGTTCAAGGACTGTGTTTGGTTTCATTTTCCTTTTTGGTCCTAGTGCCATGCTCAGTGCCTACTAGAGTTGGCACTGAAATTCGTGTGCCAAATAAATGAACGCATTCATCAGTGAATAAGATAAAGTTTTTGCTTTTAGCAAGTGTATAGCCTATTTTAGTGACCTTTCTCAGAAAAGGTTAGAAGCTCCACAAAGAAAACCAGGACACATCCATCTCTGCAATTTTATTTTTCTTCTATTTTAGCTTTTTGCTTTAATCTTGAATGTTAAAATCTTTGGATGTCCTACTTTAAACTTCTCACCTGAAATAGAAATAGCAAACGAAATACTAAATGATTCTTTCATGGCTCATTTCATGGCATTATCGGTCAACCTCAACCCCCTTTAGAAGCTTCTTCGTAATTTTTGTCCGACTGAGGGCACCTGCAAATGGCAGTTTCCTCTCTTTTCCTTTGTTTATGATTTCTTTGGATAGCACAGAAATCTCATTTATGGTAGTTTATGGGAGAACAATGCTCTGACACTCTAAATTCATGAATTCAAACAAAACAAAACCTAGGCAGTGGCATACTGGCACATTACTAAATTTACACTTTCAAACTAATGCAAACTACTGAAAGTTCAGTTACATGACAGTCTAATAATCTTGTATTATTGGTATTTTATTGTTCTTTGAGAATTACTAACATTATTCAGTATTCATAAATCTGTCATAGAAAGGACAATAGCTTGGAGGGTATGTAAAATGGTGCAGCTTTTATGGAAAACAGTATGAAGTTTCCTCCAAAATTTAAAAATAGAACTGCCACAATCCCACTTCTGGGTATACATCCAAGGGAACTGAAGCAAGATCTTGAAGAAATATTTGCACACCCATATTCATTGCAGCATTATTCACAATAGCCAAGAGACAGAATCAACTCAAATGCCCATCCACAGATGAATTGATAAAGAGCATGGTGTATGCATATAATAGAATATTATTCAGCCTTAAAAAGGAAAGAAGTCCTGTCTCATGCTACAATCCTACCTCATGAATCTTAAGGACATTATGCTAAGTGCGGTAACTCAACCCAGAAAAAAAGACGGCATGATTTCACTTCTAAGCTGCGATATAATGAGTCATAAGAAATACTTACTTGGTCATTCATATGACCAAGTGTGTATTGCCCAGGTATATTTGATCTTCATCCACAGTTCCTGAAAACACCAGAGCCTTTAAAGGTGAAATGGGTGTTTAGTCATGTTAATGAGAAACTTGTGGACCCTCCCCCAAGGGCAGAGAAAGGAGGGTGAATTAGCCAGTGGCCAATAATTTAATCAGTCATGACTATGCAATGAAGCCCTCACGAAACCCCCTGAGAAGAGCTTATCACCCTCTTGGACCCTGCTTCTCTGCGGGAGAGAGAGCTTCTAGGCTTAGGAAACCAGAACCCCTCCACGTGCCACGGAGCCAGGCACCAAGCTCCACGAGGAGAGAAGCGCCTTTATCTGGGACCTTCCCTCCATATCCCTTCATCTCGCTGTTAACCTGTATCACTTACGGTTTCCTTTATTAAACTAATAAATGTAAGTTTTGTCCTGAGTTCTGTGAGCCACTCTAGAAAATTAATCGAACCTAAGAAGTCGTGGCAACCTCCAATCTGTAGCTGGTAGGTCAGAAGCACAGGTAAGTGCCCAGGGCTTGTGACCTGCATCTGGAGTGGGGGCTGGGGGGCAATCTTGTAGGTCGGAGCCCTTAACCTGGGGCATCTGGCCCTGTCTGCCGGCCGATAGCATCAGCATTGAGTCCTTGGACACCCTGCTGGTGCTAGGAAAGTGCTTGGCGTTGTGTGTGGGAAGACCCCCCTCCCCCACGCACACACACACACACACAAGATAACAGGTGTCCGGGAACCCAGTTTCACTACTGTTACTGCTGTGTATAATACTATTATTGTTGTCCTATAAGAAAAGACACCAACACATGTGTGGTTTCTAACATAGTTAAACTCAGAGAAGCAGAAAGCAGAATGGTGGTTGCCAGGGGCAGGCGGAAGAGAGAAACGAGGAATTCATGTAGAGTTTCAGTTCTGCAAGATGAAAAAGTTCTAGAGGTTGGTTACACAACAATGTGAATAGAGTTGACACTACTGAGCTGTACACTTAAAAAGTCGTTAGGATAGTAAATTTTATGTGGTTTTTAAGCACAATTTTTTAAAAAGGACAGTAGTAGTTAACTGAGACCCAACATTTTCTCAGAAGAGAAAGGATTGCACGTTTAGCTTTTAAACTTTGTTATTTCCATACCAAATGAATCTTGTAGACTGGACAGAGATTATTTCCAAATTAACATTGGAGATTGATGCCAAACAGGCATCCCTATGTGTGAAGCCTAAAAAGGAGAGTTATTTAAAATAGTTTAAATGATTTGGAATAAAACTTCCAAAAGCTGTAATTGAAAGTGTCAGAAACATTAGCTTTGAAACAAGTAACATTTAATCACCTAGATTATACAGAAGCATGAATTTTTGTAGGTTGTTTTCTGCAATCAAATTTACATTTTCGTCTGCGGAGACTATTCATCACTTCTGGCTGGCTGGTACCAAGCAGCTTGTCAGACGTATAAATGCAAACCGCCTACACTGGGAACAGGATATTCCTTTAAGCACAAAGATGTTGAAAGTTTAATTAGAGTACTTCAAGATAACAGGTGTCTGAGAGTGGTGAGATTAAAATAAAGGGCATTTTGCATATCTGTATTTCTTTAGTTACTAAAAGTTTAAAATTATAGTCATTTATGCCTATAAAGCAGCCTTAAGGGGCACTAAAATGTCAAACTTTTCAGAGACGCACACTTGCCAAAGGAGAGAATCTGACAGGAGATATATCCCCCAAAGAATCATGAAGATTCAAAGAAAGAATTAATTACCTCCAGTTAGACATTATTTTATACCAAGTCCCTGCCATAACCTCTTTTTTGTTGTTGTTGTTACTGGGAGTCTATCTTTACAGGGTCAGAAAATATGATACTTGCATTTAATAAGCATAAGAATGGTGATTAACAACTGACTGGTACCATGATAATAATAGTAGACAAAAATAATCTATTTAGCACCAGGGTAGAATAAATTGTACTTGTAAGGACCGTGTGGTAATTTTAATGGAGGCGAGGAAGGCACAATTACAAAGCCTAATTCCCTGTTAATAAACAGGGTGTCCCTGCTGCCCGTGCTCACACAACCCTCTACAGCCCAAGGGAGAGTGAGTTTACCAGGTAGCTCCTCTCAGTGAGCGTGGGGACCCGTACAGACAGCCACAGGCTTGGGGGTGGACACTAGGGTGGTTTAAAATGAGTTCAGTCTTTGTTGCCTTGAATCTGAGATGTTTATGCACCATCCAAATGGAAATGGAAAGAAAGAGCCTGAATATCCACCCCAAAACTTCACAATGGAGACCTAAACAGGAGAGACAGGCGTGTGTGCTGAGGGTGACTGATGTCCGTCCCACGGATCAGATCACCAAAGCGAGCTCTGCTTGTGAAAAGGAAGCCGTGGAGGCTGGAGACCCGCGCACTGCAGTTCGGGTTTTCCAGGGAGAACCTCTGAGACGGAGTCTCATGCTCAGGATGTTTATTGGGAAGTGCACGTGGCATCTGCCTGCAGAGGCGGTGCGGGGGAGGGAGAGGGCTCAGCAAAGAAGGAATCTGAGCTGCCAGGCTGCCCGCACTGTGAGCTGTCCTGGAAATGGCCAGAGTAACCCGGCCCTTGTGCTCTGCTGTGATCAGTCAGTCACTGGCTATGTGGCCTGGGAAGGGTGGGACCTCGCAGGAGAGCCCCCTCAGCGGCCGAGGCCATGCTGGGCTGAGCTGAAAGCTGCCCCTTGTCTCGTCTGTACTCCCAGCAGCCATGGTAGCAAAGCCCTCCATGTAGAGGGGCCGGGCAGCCCGTCCCCACGTCCACCATACAGAAGTGCAGAGATGTGAGGTGTGAGCCGGGAAAGAGAAGCCTTAGGTTCAGGCATTATAAAGAACAAGCAGAGACATAGCAGGACAATAAATAGCTGTGCTGCTTCATAAGTGCTGGAGGCCAGAAGAAAAAGGAGAAAGCAGTCAATATCGGCGAGCATTATTTTAAAAAAGTCAAACAAGGGCCATCAAGGGTAGACAGATGTCAAGAATTCACAGCTACCAGGAGAGGCACAGGCTTCGAGGCACCACAGCTTTTACAGGAAGATAAAGGACAAATGGCCCACAAGTGGCATGAAGTATAAAGGAGTTGCCAGTCCAAATCTTTATGGGGTTGCAAGGATCGACTCACCAAATCCATTGAAAAGGGCCAAGTCGGATCCAGTGTCTTCAGAGGATTCAGGATTCAGTTAAGAGTTGAGAGTGGTGTCCAGTAATGAAGTGCAGGGTGCCAAAGGTTTGCTTCGCCGCATTAAATGATCCAAAGCTCAGCAGGAAAGCTTAGGAGGGGAGAGATGGAAGACATGGGGGGAAGGGGAAGGGAGCAAAAGGGCAATGAGCAGTATAATTTTGACCCAAGTGAAAGAATTCGCCCTTCAGCCTGTGGTATGAGATTAGAAGGAAGGGGAGATACTCCCAGGGGCTTGGAAGGACTTGGATGGGAATGTGAGGCCTGGGGGGATTCTCTAACCTCAAGATCGCCAATGCAACTTGTCCCAGCAGGCCCAGTCTAAGAAAGGCACAGACCTCCTTGGAAGGAGTGAATAACTTTGCTTGATTGAGGGTGTTTCAAGGGATTCATATCTCAGGTGAGCGATAATGGGGTTAACTTCTTTTCAGGCTTCCCTCCCTCACCCCCCCCACCCCCCGCACGCCATACAGCAGAAGCCCCCAGAGGGGGGACTCCTGGGAGGCATCAACAGGTGTTTCCCTAAAGGGCTATCATATGCCAACATCCCTTTCTCTTTGTTTTTCTTCTTCTATCTTGTCCTGTGTATTCAACAGTAAATGTCTATTGAGAGTTTATAGTTCCAGGTAGCTGTCCTCCGGCTTGAAGATCAATAAAACCCATCCACTATTCTCCAGCTGCACAGTAATTCCAGCATAGTTGTATCTGTCCACAAAAATGCTATGCCACACTCATGCAAATGAGCAGATCACAACCTGGAATAAATCAGAGCCAGTCAGGTATCAAACTGTTGATAATTAAAGATTTTAATAAAAGTTGAGAAATGTCCCTTGGCATTCTTCTCCACATATTTCCTATTTCCTGCTCCTTGCTGTCAGGCATAACACTGCTGAGATACTACGTGGAGACAAGACAGTGAAAATAGACTTGGTGATGGATTTTTAGAAAAAATACCTGCATAATTATTATTCTATTCTTTGACACATCAGTCCATAAGAACAGAACTTGCCACTGTTTTGGCCGCTTACCTTTCAGTCAGGCTACTACATGTTAGGCAAGGAGGGACTGCCTGTCATTTATGGAGGCCAGGTCCCTGTAGGGCTGTCACAGGTCATGCCTGCCTTCTTGATCCACCTGCCATTTCCTTTCTTCTCATCAGCTACTGATCAGTATTGGTGGGATAATCCACACTAAGGCCTGATTTGGAGACAAATTGCCAGCCCAGGGTGCCTCTCTGGTCGGGACCCACAGTCACTTCTCACCAAAACCAAGTTCTCTGTAACGTATCATTGTTCTATCCTAACATCTGGACAGGGGGTTTCAGCCCTTATTACCACAGCAAATATGAAATTGCTATATTTATTCAGAAGACAACATTGAGTGCCTGCTAGGGCCTGGGATTTCAAGCTGAGTTAAGGCATGGTTACTTTGCTGAAGAACTGAGGCGGGTAAAACAACAAAATATTCTCTGAGAGCTGAAGAGAATGCTTAAAGAGCAAGTGTGAGGCTCGGACTATGTCATTCCATTTACGTCGTGCCTGGTATACTAAAAACCTGGAAATAGTTAATAGCTAATAATGGAATCTTTTCCCAATCTTGGGGGACAGGACCCTGGGGCTATAAACCAAAATGATTTGCATGATTATAGATACAAATATTGAACACATGTGAACATATTCATTCATGTAATCACATATACAGATGTTCAACTCTAAAACTTAAGGGCATCATGTCCACCTTTCACTTATTCAATGATTATTTATTGAGCCTCAATTCTGGGCAAAGGCCTATTAGACACCAAGAAAGATATAAAGATGAGTCAGCCACAGAGTCTCTTCTAAGAAGCTTTCATCTAAATAACCAATATTAACTTTTTGGGGGACAGTTTTCACCAAATTTGAAAGTCATATTTGGGATGCACTGACTTACAAATCCTACGGCATATTAGAAATTCACATAGGAGAACCTTGGGGAACCCCTCAACCAAATAGGCTGGCTTCCCAGGTATTAGCTGTTTGGAGCCACCCAGCATCTAACAGGGCCTAGTTTCTTGCAGAGGGCATTGCCGCTCCTTGGAGAGCAACCTTAGCAAGATGGCAAATCAAGGTATCCAGCCCTCTTACAATGGGTGTTGAGGGGCTCCTATGAGTGCCCCCCATGTTTGAGAAAAGCCAGAGGCAAGCAAGTGAACTAAGCTTGGAAAACCAGCCTCTCTCTCCCAGGACTTTGAATCTTCCGTGAAGCAATCCCAGTAAACAAACAAACTACTGGAGTTGGCTTAGCCCAGTGGCAACATTGGCCGCCTCCCAGAGCAATGAGATCTGCGGTAAATGATTGAACGACTAAACTTTTTAGAACAAAAGTAAAGGTCAGGAAGTCCAACTCCCTACCCACTGCATGAATCCTTTCTCACAAAGAGGCACCCAACTCTTTGAAACCATTCAAGTTGTGTTACCTTTGAAAAATATATTGCCGTCTGACTGTAATCGTGGTCCGTAAGAAAACTGTGCGTCCTAGGCTTCTAAGCTAATATGCGTGGTAAATATTCTACCCTCTTGTCAGATCCCAAATGACTATTTTTGTTGCAGAAAATACAGTCCCCATGTATGGTTTCTAGTGTTACTTTTATCACTAAGCTTCTCCTCGTCACTTTCGGTTTTCTTTCTCCCTCTGTTATCCTCTAAAGCTTTAGAAGAAAATCAGAAGCTGTCCATCAGTGACTGGAGAAGAGGGCCAGGGAGAGAGATCGCAAAGCAAACCTGAAAAGCAGTTTTTACAATAAGCCTCACTAGCAATGAGAACAGCCAGGCTGTGCCGGGAATTAAGCTAACTACCCCTGTAGCGGCCGGGTCCGAAGGGGGATAGGGCCCCACGGAGGTCAAAGAGTCAGTCCAGGAGATAGAGCTGGTACTGTCTCTGGTAATGAATGCTGTGCCCTTGAGCCATGGGCCTTATTGGGCAGTTGTAAATTGATAGCTACATGTCACACCACAGGTCTTAAATCTGTGACCTTTGTCAGCCTTTGATCTGAGATACCCAGTTATAGGGGTCCTCAAGGCCTTGGCAAGCCAAAGATGTTGAACCAAAGAAAACCAATTACCTTGGACGTAGTTTTAAATCAACCTTTTTCCTATAATCTCTCTGCCATGCAGTTCAGTTCCAAGCATTTTAAATATGTGTGAATTGCAGATGGGTTTCCACATCCCTCCCCACTTTGACTCAGCAGGAGATAAACATGCTCCCCAGATTCTTCCAATTCATTCAGAACAGCCTGAAAGCAGAGGTTTCAGGTTTGAAATGTCAAAAGTTAAATTTGCAACCTGTTTGAGACCCCAAGGTCATACTCTTCAGAAACTCATTTTTCTTGGAGACATAATCAGGACACATTATTATCACAAGCAATACAACTGTGGACAGAGATTCTAAGAGGTGATAATTGCCCAGTGACTCTGAGGTGGTGAAGTGCCCAAATTCAACCTACATTTCTGCTCCTGTTAGCTGTTCTCTCAGTATTTCTGAACTCATACTTGTCTCCCATGGTCCCTCTGTCTCACAGGAGAAAGGCAAATAGAGAAAGATGATAGATGAGAATTTCTCAATCACAGAAGAGAATTTCCGTAAATTTGGAAATATCTAGCCCTTGTCCCAAGTAGCACCATGGGAGACTTCAAATGTCTTCAAGTAAATGATCCAATTCTAGAATTTCAAATTCTGTGAAGTTTCTCTTTAAGACAGTCTATAACATAAGTCGTGGGGGCTTTACAAATATCAGAGGGCTCTGAGCAGGTATCATTCTTTTTAAACCACCTATTTCCTGTTGTGTAGCGCAGTGTTAAAATGATTGTTGAGCAAGTGAGTTCGTAGCAGTTGAGGCCACAGCACATACCTGGCTGAAGCAACCACAGATTATATATCATTTTGCTGCCTTAAATCCTTTGCCTGTTGCAAAAAAAAAATAAAGAAAAAAAAAAGCCACTCGCCCACAATTCCTAATGACATTACAGAGGGAAACAGGTTATTTTTGCATCCATCAAACACTGCTGTTTCTCATAGAAGCCATTCCCACCCCGAAGGTCCCTAATGGTGAGCTCTGGGCTAGATGCTCATCCCCGCCCCCATTTCTGAGCTGCTTCCAGAAACGTGCAGAAGGACAAACACATCTTTTATCCTTGATGCTCTTATACCTGAAGGTGGTAAAAGCACGACGCGCTGCCATCAAGACACTAACCTTGTTCGTCTGGAATGCTTTCGGAGCAGCTCATGGCTTTAGTATAGAAGAGTTTTCGAGTCAATTCTGCACACATTCATTAAGCACCTGTATTTTTTGGTTGTGCAGCAGAGATGCGCAGATGCATAGAACTTCATACAGCCTCTGTGCATTTTATTTTACTGATGGGGAGATAGGAGAGACAGACAAGGAAGAAATGACAGCACATGTGATAAATGCATTGACTGGTGAGCATATGAGGTGCAAATAGGAGTCCTGGGGCTTGGGGTGGGGGTTTACCTATTTGGAGTGCTCAGATGTTGGAGCTGGACTTTGAAGAATCAGTAGTAATTCTCACGGCAAAGAACTTGGGTGCCATGCTCTAGGGAGAGAGCGGAGCAAGCGCAGAGAGGCAGAGCTATGAACAGAAGCAACTGGAGACTGCTGGAAATGTCGAGGAAGGGGGTGGGGTGATAAGTCTTGATGCAGTAGGAGATAAAAACAGGAGGGAGAATTTAGGGCAGGAGGACCCAGAGACCTTTGTTTATGCAGACCTTCCAAAGGGTAGCCAGAATCTTCCTCTCTCCCTTTAGAAAATGCCTGGTCATTTGAGCTGCACCGACTTTATAGAAAAGCCTAACAAATATTAAAGGCAAATTATTTTTCCAAATAAAAATATTTCTTTCTCTTAAGGAAGGCTTTCTATTTAGAACCAGTGCTGCCTAGTAGTTGGAGCACCGGCTTTGAAGTGGGGCCATTCTGAGTGCAAACCTGTTTCTACCATGCATATCCTGGCAAGCTATTCAAACCTTAAAGTTTCCATTTTCCTATTTGCATTTTGGTTGCTATGAGAATTCAGTAATATGTGCTCGTCACAGCGTCTAGAGTTTAATAAGTATCCGAACACAATACCAATACCTGCTGTTTGTTATCATCAGCGGTAATCTCCTAGCACAACACTGCTTTAGTGTCACTGGGGTAAATAAACGTCTCATTATAAATCCCTCCAGCCAAGCCCAAGAGCAAGCAAACTGAATGGGGGGGACCAAGTCCAATCCTGGGAGCCTTGAAATACACTAAGAGGGGAAACCACTGAAACCACAAGACCCTACGCCCAACTTACTCTGCCCCCTGCCTCCAGTGGGAATTCTCTCAGAACCCTGAATGATTAAGCAGAACAGCCCAGATGATCAGACAGATGTTCTTATAAAATCCTGGGTGTGCATATATGGAAATCATGGCCTCTCCCATCCTGACACTACGCGGACGCTGGCAATTGCGAGCCAGGCTGTTAGGCGGCTGGCTCATACTGCCCTCCGCAGAGGCATTTGGGAAAGCCTTGAGTTTTAAATCCAGAGGGTACAACGAAAACAGCTTTATTAGTGAGATCTGAAAATGTTTATTTCTTCCAGGGATATTTTCTCAAACAACCTGAGCTACATAGTCAATCTTGCGTCTTAGAAGAAAATCAGAAGTTGAGCTTAAAGGGTCGTGATGGGACTATCAGAGCTGATCTGCAAAGAATGAAGAATTTCTTTGGGGTAGAGAAACGGAAATGCCTCAGGCCTCTGTCCCAATAGCAGAATCCTATGTTTGTTTGTGGATGAGAATCTGTTATATAGGAGATGACTCTGGTGGTTTGCCGTGGAAATTTGCACAATTTCTATTTTGAAAAACATGCCAGTCTTATTAACTAGAGGATACTTGGATATCTGTCACAGAAATGAAATTGCCTTACCATTACTTGAGTATATTCTGCTTTGCCAAGATACTACTGTGTCATAACTCCCGGCTCTTCCTTACCATATTCTGGGGCATGATTTTTATACTGTCCTCACCTCTGCTGGTGAGCTCCAACACCAAACTTCATTAAAGTTAGTTTATGAATTAAACTTCATTGCTTAACCACCAGATCTCTACCTCCATAGTCATAAACGATCAGCAAGTACTTGCAGTTGTCTAGTTTTATGTACAGAACTGTACTGGGTACCATATAGAATGCCAAAGGATAATTTATGCTCTTTCAGATTAAGAATTTTGTAATATTATAGGGGAAGGAGGGTCACAGAATATAATATGCGAAACCAATAGCAAACTACAGAATCAAAGCAATGTAGTGTTATGGAAATAGAACTTAAGACAGTGCCTAGCTTTAAAATCTTGCTATGTAACTCAGTACTTGTGAAATTGTTAGGCAGAAAGACTGAAATGAGCAGGATGAAAAGGGCCCCCCAAAGATGACTCAGGGAGTTGATCAGGTGGAACCAGAAAGCCAGAAATGACTCAGAGAGTTAATCAGATGAAGCCACAGGGTCCAGGGTCCCCCAGGTAAGAAATATCACAGGTGCATGCACAGTACAGCCCCTGTCCTCATTTCACCAATCAGAACAAGCCCAGAGAGCTGACGGCTGTCAATCAAGGACCTCTCTGCTCTGCCAAAAACCACATAAAAGAAGCCTCAGAATGAGTATCGAGGCCTGCCTGAGATGGGCCACTCGAGTGTATTAAAACTTGCTTTGCTTTCTTGACTTTGGTCTCTTGTCTCACTGTATCTGACATCCCTGTGACACCCAACCGAGTCCTTTCCCTCCCAACATATTGAATTATTTTTTCAAACTCTGTCAGTTCTTTAGGAACCTGATTGCAAGACAATAGCTTTACTGGAAAAAGCAAATAAAAATAAAGATCTGGAAACAGAAATCTAGGGAAGGCAATCAAATTAAAAATATGATCTTGCCTGTATAAATTTTACTTTTTGTTTCAGGAACCATTTTTGAAAACTGCGTTTTTGATGTTTCAATACAGAGAAATGAAGGATCATGATTAAGTTTCAAATGAAGCCCTAATACTACTCATGCAAATTTGCACCTGCATGCATTTACACGCAAACGATTGCATTTACATGCACAAATTGAGTAATTAGGCAGCTAACTACAAGATCAGCAAACGTAAATGCTTATTAGCCCATCATCAAATTGGTGCTCATAAAAAATTTCCAAGCATAGTTTATAGTCCAATTTCTTTTCACCTTTCAAATATTGGCAATATTCTTACATGTTCCTTAAATGTCCTATATTTGGGGTTTTTTTTTTTCAAATAAACTCATTCCTTTTAAATGTCCACCCTCCATAAATTTTTCAATTTCAAAAAAAGATGTAAAGACATCTATTATTAGCAAAAACAGTAAATTTCCCACAAAATTCAATTTTGTATATACATGTATGTAAGTATATATAGGTATATGTGTGTATATGTACATAAATTTATACATGTACATGTATACACCTACATCTACACACACACATATATATACTTTTTCTAGATATATATGCATTTTTAAATTTAGTTTTATTACTGAAATGGATCTTACTAATTGCTCATCCCTTGTTTTTCACAGTATAAAACTGAGAACCAGAATAAACAAATGCTTCTAGTTAGTTGCACAGCTGGGAATTTGATTCTAGGTCTCCTAATTCATTCTATTTTGTCAGTTCATTCCCTCAGGGTCCTCTTAGGAAACATGCAATATCCAAGTAAAGCAGAAAGTTAACATTAACATATGAAAACAATTCTCTAATATTGTTCAAGTGAACTTCTTTTTATCTTTTGCCGAGGTAAACAACTTGAAAATCTGACATAATTTGGCAGTTGGAACAGAGTTTAGGAGCTAGGGAAACTGGGGTTCAGGCTTTATGGAAATCTGGGCTTATACAATTTTAAATAATGTGTTTCTAGTATATTGGAAATATATATATATATATTTCCAATTAAAGGCATTGAAGAAAACTACTATAATTCACTAAAAGTGTAATTCATAAAACAAGGGACAGTCTAGACCAAAAAAATTGAAAAGATACACGATCACAGATTAAAGGACTATTTTACATACCAAATGAATTTAGTTTTATGTAAAACCCTGTAAACAAAGTTTATGTAAACACATTTTTCTCAGTCTTTTGTGGGGAACTTAGGAAGTTCTTCTATCTGTTGAGCCAGAACTGACCTCCCTGTAGTACCACTGTGGGCATTAGTATTTCTTCCAGAACGCACAAACAAGGTTAGTGTAAGATCCCAGGATACTTAGGCAAGCACACCATAGGGACAGAGATAACCAATGTTTCTAAAAAGAACCCAGATCTTGAAGAGCAGAGAAAAAGACCTAAAAGGCATTACTTAGGATTTCAGAAAAGATCTGACACGATTCCATGCCAAAGATCATTTCAATAATTGTGTCGACTATCATTTCTACAGCAGTGACCAAAGAAGAACTACTTGAGTACTGTATTGCTTAAAAGTAATTTTATATGTATTATTTCATGTATTATTACATAGCTGTACTATTATAATAGTTACATCATTATTGGAGGAGAATTCTATGTTTCAAGGCTTATCACATCTTTTTTTCCTAATAAGAGATTATAGGATGCAATGGGTAGAGTTAAGTGAGCACACTCTGGAAGGGAGGGACCCATGAAATTCCTCAGATACTTTACATGTTTCGCCTTTGCTCTTGCTGTTCTTTCCGCCTAAAGTGACCTTTATCTATTTATGGGCTTATGAAAGATTCATTTCCCTGCTCTCCACCCTATGAGGTCTAATTAACTGCTTTTCCGTATTCTTCTCATTTGTGCATAAAAATATTTTTTCACCTACTGTTGGGTTTTTTTCTTGCATCGGATCCCCTGGTATGCCAGAAGAACCTCAAGGGCCAGAACTGAATCACTATTTTCTGTATGCTTTATCCCATCTCAGGGTATATGTCATTTTCTTCAGGACATCTTCCTGCACCACAGGGTAAATCCGGGTCCTTTGTTGGGTGTCACTTCAGCCCTAGCACCTTGCCATTACTCTTGTCAAACTATGTCATTGTCTCACCTTTTACCCAACTCACTGAGGAAACAACATGCCCCACAGTGCGTGACACAGAGTAGCAGCTCATTAAATATTTGAGGCAAAATCCCTTACACTTTGTAATTATGCAATGAATTTTTTTTACAGGGGATGTGTATTAGCTCTACATTTTATAGATTTCCTGGAGTTATTTCTAGAGGTGCAGCTAAATATGGACATTTAAGTTGTCACCTGCAGTACAGCATTGTCCACTGCAAAATGCATCACTAATAAGGAAGTCAGACAAAGGCAAATTCCATAGGATGTCATTTATATATGGAGTCCAAAAAAATAAAACAATCAAGCAAACAAAACAAAAATAGACTCATGAATACAGAGAACAGACTTGTGTTTGCCATAGGGGAGGGGTGGGGTGATGGGTGAAATAGGTAAAGGGGATAAAGAGGTACAAACTTCCAATTACAAAATAGATTAATGATGGGGATGAAAGTATAGTAGAGGGAATATAGTCAATAATATTATAATATGTTTTATGGTGACAGATGTTAACTACACTTATTATGGTGGACATTTTATATGTATAACTGTTGAATCACTATGTTGTATACCTGGACCTAATATAATATTGTATGTTAACTATGTTAAAATAAATATTTATTAACATTAAAAAATTGCATCATCACCTTCCAAAACAATCATCCTTCTATCTGTCGAGAAAGTGACCCTTCTTCATGCCACCAAGTCTCCTGAAAGGGGAGGGTGGACATAACTGCTGCATCTACAATTCCTAGCAAGGAGCCCTGAAAACAGTAAGCATTCAAGATTGTTGAATAAAGAAAAATTTTAAAACTCTGGGATATGACTAAAGTCTTCCATTCTATTAGTAATGTTTACTTTTAGGAATGATGAGTACTAGATGTTTGCAATGTTATTTGAATCCTGCTTTGGTAAATCTGAACTGTTTCAGAATGCAGTCTTTTGATTTTGTTAAAAAAAAAAAGCACATTACAAAATGTACTATCTAAGCCATTTTTTGAAAATAAATGACAAAAAATTTATTTAAATTTTACCTTAAACATTTTTAAATGTACTGAATACTAGTGTTTACTATCTAACACTTGTTGTGCAACGGATCTCTAGAAACTTTTCTGTCTTGCAAAACTGAAACTATACCCAATGAATAACTCCCTTCCCTCCTCCCTGGCTCTTGTTAACCACAATTCTAGCTTGCATTTCTAAAGTGTTTGGCTGCTTTAAATACTTCATGTAAGTAAATCATGCAGTATTTATCCTTTTGTGACTGGCTTATTTCACTTACCATTAATGTTTTCAAAGTTCATCCATGTTGTGGCATGAGACAGAATTTCCTTTTTTAAGGTTGAGTAATATTCCATTGTATGGATATACCACATTTTCTTTATTCAGTCATCCATTGATAGAATGTTCAGTTTCTTCTGTCTTTTAGCCATTGTGAAGGATGTTGCAATGAACAGCAATGTGTCAGAAAAGGATTTTTAAATACCCTGGGATAGTTTTCGATTCATGTGTTACCAAGTTCTCGTAGTTTTTCTCAATCTCTCTTCTTTCCCTGCTTGTTCCTTTCTAACTGACATACCTTTCCATTTTGTTCAGGCACTTATGACTTCACATCTGGATTGCCAGAACAGTACCTTACTTTTTCTTCCCCTCTTCATTCTCTATGTAGTCATTTTATATACTGCTATCCAATCAACTTTCCTAAAACTGCCCAATTAATCCCATTAATTCTACATAAACAACCTTCAGTGAATTTTCATTGTCTACAGGAAATGGGGCCTGACTTAAAAGATCCTCTTTCTGTTCCAACTTTATCAACTCTTTCCCCTAACCTAGGTTTTGCCAGCTGCCAGGCTTCCCCCAGGCATTGTGGTAACAGAGGGAAGGCCCTGAAGAAAGGAGCAGGTGAACCATGCCCTCAAGGAAGGTACCACAGGGCCACAGCTGAGACTTGGGGTCCCCAGAACAACACCAGTGAGACACAATTGGGGGAAAAGTTAAGCCAAACAGGAGGGGACAGAGGAATTCCACTGCATGCACAGGCACGCGGACACACACAAACACAGACACACCACAGACACAATGACACAGCTGAGAGCACTGGACTGGGAGTTGAGAATGAAACCACGCCCAGCTTAGTCAGTCAGTCAGTCAGTCAGTCAGTCAGTCAGTCAGTCCTCCCAGACAGTCAGCCAGTCAGTCCTGCCAGAACAAGCCAATGGCAGAAACCAGGGCACCTCTTGCAGAAACCAGAAGTAAGGGGTTCGGAAAACTCATGAAGGGGAGCAATGGGTGGCCAGTTGCCTTGTTACACCTGCCCTTGTCCATCTGGTTCTCCTGTTCCTAAATGACTTTTGTAGTTTAAATTGCATTATATTTCCATGCAGGTAATTTTGAAATGATAAACAGGAAAATAAACATGGTATATCTATTTGAGTACATATACATGTCTACATAATGTATCTACATTTTTAAAACTTTATCTTAAGCATCAGCTTTAACACTGCATAGTATTCTACCAGATGTGTTTAAGCTGTCCTCTGTTCATTCAGATTTATGTGAATGTATTTGTGCATAATCTGGCCATTTTCCAAAGGTGAATTCCTAGAAGTAGGACTATGTGCTAATGACAACTTGAAGA